TCTCAACGGGAGTAAAAACTTTTTGGGTTTTAATCAGTGCCCCCAAAAAAAACATTTATTTCCGATTTTTTCTTACAAAACCCGCCAATTTTTAAGTTTATATATTTTAGACATAAAAGAACACAAAAAAACATATTTTTGGTTTAAAGGGAAAAACTTTGAAAAAAAAACGCATGAGATTTTTTTCAAAATGTGAAATCAAGGTAAAATAAAAAACGGAAATTACAAAATTTATATAGTTTTAAAAAATAATAAATATACAACCCCAAATAGTTTTAAATAAATTTTAATCATTTTAATAAAAAAATCATCATAAATTTAAAAAACATTTTTTGAAATAATCATCAACAAAACCCGGGGCTTTGGGTTAAAATAAATACTAACACTACAATACCAAAAAAAAAAAAACCAACCATACTATAAAACTACTTCTTTTGCCAAGCATTTGATTAAATTAATGGAAAATTAAAAATCCATTCTATTACAAAACATGTACATAGAATATTATGTAAATTTAAAGCATAGTACGATTTTTTTTTTTGATTTTTTCTTCAATGCGTAAATCTTGGACGAAAACCTGAGGAGAACATATTGATTTCATTTAAATAATCAGAGAAAACAGCCGACGTTTAAATAACCGTTTCAAAAAGACAAAATTTTTGTATTTATAACTTCGGTTAAAAGCATTCTGTTATCAAAAGACACAGAGATGAAATGAATAAGAATTCGCTGGCATCAAACTAATGATATCAAATATTGACGTGACCTCTTGACCTTAAACCAATTACGCAGAGTTGATTCCAGTTTCACTGCAAGGTGGTCTAAATTATATATCGAGAATGTTCAATTATAGTTGATATATAACTTATATAACATTGCTGGAATTATAACTGTGCCAACATTAATGTTTAAAAAGAAACAATAGCATAAAGTATTTTATAATTTCTGTTTTTTTTCTCATTCATATCATTTCAAATATTTCAGCGTTTAAGATTTTCGATATTTTAATTGCCTATTTCAGGTAATATTAGAACGTTACCAAATTGTTGTGTTGTCCGTGGTTAATCGTCTTTAATCGCTGTAGGTTCCAGCCGCGCGAGCGTCTTCGGATTACTCATGTGAGAAAGCTATCTAATTAGAGGTTCTACTCAGACACTCATTTGTGCCAGGAAAATGAACACCCGAGGGAATTTTTAACAAGTCAAGCTGGAAATTTGCAAGATTACATAGTATACTGTGTTGCCGTGACATTAAACACGACCAAAACAAAACAAATCTTTATTTGTCTGAATAATACCATCAATAAAAATATATTAGATAATAACAAAATAACAACGATGTTATAAACGTTTTAAACTGTACTAAAAACACTGTAAATCTAAGAATAAGAAATGAAAGTCATGCATAAAACAACGTGAATCTAAAGCATATAGATTAATAAATGATAACAATGAAACAATGTAACACATGTTTTTATGTTATTTTATATTTATTTATTCAAATCCCAGAGTATCGTAAAATTACAGAACACAGATGAAAGACAGACATTAAAACATCTGTGATGAATGACTCAATTTAACAAGGAGTTAGATTCGATAGCTCTTGCTTATATTATTGGTAACAAAGTAAATGAAAAGGCTCTGAACAGCTCCGAAAATGACAATACATAATGCATTTCTTAAATGCAAATTAGTGTTGAAACCATATCATTTGTGACTACACTTGCTAAACACCTCATCTTTATAAATGAATGCTTCGAACTAAATAAGTCACTGTATAATGGTATTGCTCTTAAATCAAGGACATCGTACTGCGTATATTAAGCGACGTACATTACAATTCGTTCCTCAAATAAGCTTTGTTGAAAACGATAGAAGCCATTCGGAAAATTATTCGAAAAAACGGGATAAAATGTTTAATTGATGCTATAGACAAGAATAAGAACAGTACTAATACAGAGAAGCTGCAGATTTCGGTTCAAGGGTATGAGACTATTTCACGTATCAAATCCTTGATTTTTTCCGAGAAAAACACATTCAAACAAAACGAAAACCAAATGAAATATTTTTAAAAAGGAAACGATAGGAACACCCCCCCCACACCCCCTATAAAATGAGATTGCTACTGACTGTAGCTTTCAACGCTTAATCAAACCGAACCTACAACTCTTTTGTATTGTTCTTGAGGATATTTTCTCCGGAGTGACAGGCGGTGTTGGTCATTTGACAAGGACAACTCCCCTGACCAAATTTCGTGACAATTGAAGCAAAAAGTGACCACTTAAAGTAGTACGCCCCTAATAGACAGTATAAGGAACTGTAAAATTGACAACATAGGACAGTTATATGCCTTTAATGTAACCTGTATGCAAAACTTAAACATTATTTACCGTGTGGTTTATGAGTTATGGACATTTTTATAAAACTTTGCCAATAAAAAGGGCTTTCTTCAGAAATGAGGAACTCTAAATAATCTATAATATCATCATTATGAATAATGTTTTCTTATTGCCCATTGTTAAAAATCAAATAATGACATTACAAATCAAACGAGCAAAATGATTGTTTCTAAAAGAAATGTTTTAAATATGTTTAAAAAAATGTAACCCTACCCCACCCACTTTAAGCACTTATTTGACAATTTCCCTATGTAAAATGCCTTATTTGAAATATCCCAAAAGTTTCCCACAATGAGCATCTGTTTTTAAAGTTTGCCTAAATTTTCTTAAATGTATATTGGGTTGTCTTGCAAAATATGAAATACTTTTACCGAGTAGTTTTTATTTTATTAAACTTTGAAAATATCTGGTATAATATTTGCTATTAAATTTGGCATTATTTAGCAAATAAATACCTAAAAAATATATAATTAAAATAAAACACTTTTTTCTTCCATTAGAAATCTGAGAAATTAATAAAAAAATGTTAAAAAGAAAAAAAAAATAGTTGCCCCTGCTTGGGTTTGAACCCAGGTCCCTCAGTTTCAATTCTTTTTAGTGATTCTAGCCTATTTGAATACTCTTCAAAGTGGAGATAGTGCATTAGGGGTGAACTATCTTAACAGTAAAGTGTTGACAAATAGCTGACTTACACATATGGGCCAGAGAAGCTAAAGAGCTAAACCTTCGTTTAGGGCACACGCTTTATTTTACTTGGGAACCATTTGCCGCTTTTCATGAAATGGCACGTACGTGTCACGTTGACGATTTCATGATAACCGTCATATGAACACATCTGCGGATGTTTCGAAATTCAAAATTGTACCAGTTCATGTTCATGTTAAATGTGGAATTTTGCTTAAGTCAGTGCTAGAGGTCGTGAACGGTAGTTTGCACTTGACAGTACCGTCCATGAACAGGCTCAATCAAACCGTATTAACTGTATTTTTTCATATAAACATATATAACGGCAGAATATATGTGTCGTCATAATATTGATAAACTTACTAAAACAGATCATTTTCCGTATATATTTCTACAAACAGTAGGTAACATCATTTATCGAACCTTAGAATGCTAAGATACATAATGCGACACCTTTGATTAATCACGCGGTTATTTTAAGACGCAATCTTCAGTATTATTGTGTTTTTTTTCCATTAAGTTGTAACAAAGACTTTTAAATTGACATATATGGCTTAATTATTTATGAGAGGCAAACTTATGCATTGGCAACCCTTCCATATCAACAAACTCACAGTTGGTTTAATCGCTAAAATTGTAACGAAAGGATTTCTTGTTAGTCGAATTTGATTTAGAGCTTTGGAGAATATCAAACAAATATATCAAGGTATCATTTTCATATGATGAAAAGGGGCGTAGAAGACCCAATACATGACATTTGGATTCCTTGTCGGTTACAGATTGTTTATCATTTTGGTGATTGGCCTGTCCGTGCTCTGCCTTGTGCCCTGTACTGTTTTTGTTTGGGGTCCGCCTTGGCTCCTTGTCGCTTGTTCTTGTTGCTTGGGTGTGTTGGGCTGTATATTTTGAAGGACTTCTTCTTTTATGAACTAATTTAAAGGAAATGGTTGGGAAAAAGAACATCAAATTACAGCTATAATAGAACAGTGGTATAAAATTTTAATGATATAAATAAATCAACAGAAGTATTTTGTTGACAGCCATATTTACAGTGACCTATCACATGGTCTGTTAGCTTATGTCTGTCTTTGCTATCGTTGACCGATCAGAAATAAAAGAAAGAGACAACTTTGAGGGTTATTTACATTTGACTTTCATCAGAATCATTTCCTTAAAAATACACATACCTTGTGTAAGTTCCTATATTTTGTGTTCATGTTATATATCATTTTAGTTTCTAACTAAAAATGAAACCACTCCTGAAATTTCATCTTTAGCAGTTTAAAGAAGTATAATCTTTAAATAAAAATAGAAAAATGCAATTATGAGACAAAACACAATGACCAAAAGAAATGAAGCTTCATTTAAATGTAAATATATTCTTGTAGATCTTAATTGTTATTTGCTGTAAATTACAAAGATAAATGCTATAATTATCGAGATCTCATATGCAGTCTGTGGTTTTTGTGATATAACATTTTAATTACTTCTACAATTTGCAGCCGGCAATTTAAAATAATTTAAAAACAATCATTGAACAAAAATTGAAAACCGGTGTAATGTGTCATATTCATTTTATTAATTAATTTATTCAAATAATAGTTGTTTTTGCACGCATATTTAGTGCTTGCACGAAAATACTTAGACTTTATACAGAAATTCATAATGAGACTTCAAAAAATATAATATCAGCGTGATTGGAGTACATTAAATCATTTTAATATTTTTGTCATTTATTTGCCTGAGTATCCCTTTAATTCATGACAAAACATTTTCAATAAGACATTGAACAAGAATTGAAAGCAGATGTAATGTGTCATATTTATTTTATTTATTAATTTATTCAAAATATAGATGTTTTTGCACGCATATTTATTGCTTGCACGAAACCAAAAATGTATAAATACACTGTCAGATTCTTACTTAGTATACGCTGTGCTTCATATACAAGTGCTGTTCGAATATCAGAGAAAATGAAGATGTTGTTTGTATTTGCTGCTTTAACTGTGATAGCAGGTATGTCTGTTTTATACTTCATTTAATGTTTTCATTTCAGTTTTATCTGTTTATTTCAGGACATGCATTTATATTAGGAGTGATAAAATGCTTTATGTTTTTTCTTCTGATCTGATATTTCATATTGTTAATTTGTTAATAGATGTTCATTTAAAGATTTTTCTTCGCCTTCTCTTTGAATTTCTTTTGTGTTATTTCACTTAACGAGCTCTTGGAATGGCGTTTGTTTTAAATATTTGTTTGGCTTTGTTTAAAAGACTACGGGATTTTGAATCTTTCGCCATGTGTTCTAATCAAAACTTGAAACTTTCTATTTACCTTATGGCTGTAAACATTTAACATTGTTCGTGTATTTGTATTGGTTATTTCATGTCCAGTAATGAAGTTGTTATGTTTGGTATGTACTTATTGTTCAGTTAAGTTATTTATATGTTTAATATTTAAGTACTTAATGTTCAGTTAATAAGTATTTTATTGATAGTTGCTATGCATTCTATGATTAATAAAGTTTATAGAAATTTACTCATTTACATTACCAGTTTTTGCATTTTTGTGTTGTGTAAGTAAAGAATTATTGTTTAATAATTAATAATTTCATATTTAATAAGCCAACATATTATGTTTGTTATGGTAAATATTTTATGATATGTAAGTGGGCATTTCACATTTAATAGGGAAGTATTTTATTGTCTAGTAATCTCGTATCTCAAAATGAATGATATAGTATTTATGTGAGTAATACGTATTCTATTAATTGGCTTTTCAGTAAAATTTTGTTCTGCTTTGAATAAATCATGGTTTCACGTTTGTTATTTTGATGACATGCATTTTATTTTGGATGCCCTCGATCTGAATAGCATGGTTTATTGTAAAATTTCTTGCATTCTTAATCACTTGTGTGTATTGTTATATTGTTAATTTTTATTTACTATTTTTATATACGTTGTTGTTAATTTCAATACCATATTTGAGCTATATTATGCTTGATTGATTCTCCAAGAAGAACATTTTATTTAAATAAATAACACATAAATAAGTGGTTGTTCACAAAGTCTAAAGTCACGGTATCTTCGAGTTTTGTTTTTAATTGTTTTAGAAATGATTATTTTAGTAGCTTTTGTTATTCTTAAAGTATCATAATTATTATTATTTCTTTCTTTTTTTTTGTTCTTTTTTTTGTTGTTTCTTTTTTTGTATATTTATCGACATTTTGTTCACGATTAAAAGTGTCTCATTATGGAAATCTGAAACAAGTCATATAATAAAAAAAATACAAAAAATAAATAAATAATAATAAACAAATTAAGGAAAACAAAATGTTTACTTGTGAGTTGCTTGGCACTTTAGACGTTAATAAGTCGAATACAAAAGTTCAAATAACTTTTAAAAACAGATCTTCAACATATTACGCTATTACACTGACTGATGTAATGAATGATAATGCTTAATGTTCACACACACTGATTCATGTAAAAATTTGTAAGTTTGAATAATCCTTATATTAAAAAGCATGCTTGCAGAAAAACCAAAATGGGATGTAAATGACATCTAATTACATTTATAACATGGTTGTGTTTCTGTGCAGATAAACAACGACAACAACAGTAGCAGCAACAACTTAAAACTGTTGATACTATTTTATTGTTTTTATTTCAGTATGTCAACCAGTCCTTTGTTTCGACTCAGTATTCTTTATGAATACTCCCTACCTTTTCGGTATAAGGGCTGATTCGGCTGTCGGATCTAGTATTGGTAGTGTTCTAGCTCATAGCATGTCTGTAAGTATGTTTTTTTGTCTAAGGGAATATGTTATCAATCAGGTGTTTGCTTATTGAACACAATCAGAACCATATCTTTATTTTTTACAAAATAATTGGTACATTTGAAGAAGTAAAAGTTAATCCGCTAAATAACGTACACATTTATATGCATGTTAAATAGCAACGTGGTTGCATTTTGGGATACATACTTAATATCCTCGAAGGGGTATACAAGTTTACTTTCAAGATCGTGTCACCGAAAGAATTTTAGATATACTTGTGTGTTTGGACACCTTATCCTTTTTTCATTTAAAAGGTAATTCACAATATTAATATCAGAAGATAAATTAAAATGTATGAAAATGAACTCAAGGCAAACACTTTTATTTTAATGCACGAAATGCTGTACGATAGCTAGTATATAACTGTATAATTAATATTCAAACATATCTTATACTAAAAGGGGAAAGCTGTGAAGTATTCCATCGTGAGTGGTGACTCAGCATACTTCAACTTGAATCCTACAACCGGCGAAATCACTGTTGCTCAATCCTTACCAAAAGACGTGACGAAACTCCAGTTTGACGTTCAGGCTGCTTCGACAGATGCCTATGACAAAACTTACGTAGATATCTATTGTCATCAGATGTAACGAATGAAATAAATGAATAAATGCTTGGATTAAAATGTATATGTAGTTTTCTTATTTACAATACTGTATAAAATGTAGTTAATCATTTACTTTTTCATTAATATTCAAACAAATAAACAAAAAAAAAACAAAAAAAAACAAACAAATAAATAAGCAAAAAATCAATGAAATAAAAAAACAAAAACATCAACAACAGACAATAAAATTCTTACAATAGAATATTTACAAAAAGTTATGAATTTTTACTTTTACTTTCATACAATAAATAAATAAAAAAAAGTAAAAACATAAAAACATAATAATAATAATAATAATAATAATAATAATAATAATAATAATAATAAAATAATAATAATAATAATAAAACAACAGGCAACAACATATCTTTAATATCTTCCAACATTACAGTGCATTTTCTGTGTCATTATTTTGTCTTTATCTTTAAGGCCGTTAGTATGTCTTACGATATAATAATCTCTAGATTGTTAAAGACTCTCATACGCTATATTGTTGTCAGTTTATTTCAAATTACTCGGTTCTACTCTGCCTTGCTGGGTCACTCATTTTATCAATCGTATTAATGTCAGAAAGTACATATTTTTTCGTAGTTTTGGATACATTTTTATCTTAATCACTTGGTATTTGAATATAATTATGTACAATATACATAACTGAAGAAGAAAGTATTTGTTATTGTGTGGGTTTTTTGTGTTTGTTTGAATGGGGTTTACGTCACACCGACACAGTATAGGTCATATGGCGACGTTCCAGCATGACTGGTGGAGGAAGACCTCAGGTGCCCTTCCGTGCATTATTTCAGGCACGAACGTGTACCTGAGTAAAACCACCAACGTTCCTTAAGCTACCTGGATAGCTTCCTCACATGAAAGAATTCAAAATTCCTGTTGGGATTCGAACCCTCAGCGAAGAGGGGGGGGGTTGAAGTCAACGGCCTTACCCACTCGGCCACTGACGACCCTATTGCGTGGGATTTTTCACTATAGGATTTTTTGTAGTCTTGTGTTGTCTTGAGATACATTCTTTGCAGTGCGCGGATTGAATCAGTTGAAGACAGAGTACCAATGCTTCAGTGCATGACTTCCTTGTAAAAGCCGTCACAGCCGAACATCATGTAGACAATTTCTAATTATCATTCATAATGATGTATGAATATTTTGATAACTTAATATGCACATATATTGCTAGAATTTCAATAATCTTAGAGGTATTTAAACAGTATAAACTGTAAATCACGCATTATATTATTGTCATCTATAAACACACTAATGTATCAGATTGAAGTACATTTTGCGGAGTTTGTTGATGTATTCAGAAGTGTAATCATGTTTGAATTCATCAATTATTATATCAATGTTACCTTAAAGGTAAATATTGGTTTATAAACTTTTTCGAATCCAGGAGCTATTTTCAGACATAAATTATTACATGAACAGCCTACTTAAAGGTGTTCGATACACTTCACTTAAGCATGTTGAGTTGCCTTAGGCAAGTCTGAAGCATTTTTTTGTATTTTGACAAACTATCTAACTTTAATCCTGAATATGAAGACGTATATACAGAGATAATTAAATATTAAAAACAGTTTAATGTGTCAAATAAAACAAAACAAGACAATTACATGGTGTAACTTAATTAATATAATACTAACTATACATCAGATTTTGTTATACAATCTATATCGATCGAATCGGCGACAAGACAAATATTCATTATTGATATTTCTCACATAAATACGTTTCCTGTCATAAGAATGATTTGCAATGCAAGAGTGATTATTCCTGAAGAAACATCAATATGGTCATTTGCATTTTCCGTTTGGCTAGAATAGATTGATGCTGAAATTTATTCCGCTGTTGTAGCTGATTTTATAACATTATGTTGCATTTGGGTTTTTGTTTGGTTTCACGTCACTATATTAACAGGACCAAGTACATTATTTCATATAATTATGTTTCAGTCTTTCAGACACAGCGAAATATCGGACTAATAAACAAAATATATGGTAAATTAATTTTGATAGTAGGGAATCAATGTATCGTACTTTTTATGCTTATATTTCGTCCACTTATATATTTCGATTATCTTTCTTCTTTAAGTACTGTCATTGGCATTTACACGGCGGTATGTTTATAAGACAAAACTTACATCAATCCCGATTGGCTGAGAAATTGATAATTGTTGCTTTCTTTGCTCAAAAGTGTTGTTATAAATTCCAATAATAGAAATCAAAATTAGCGAGCTGCTGCTAAACAGAACCAAATATCGGTATCGGTGTCTTGAACGCCATAGTCTTCCAATACTTCTTACTTAACGGGCGAATATGGATAGCTACACTGGAAAGTCTGTACATATCTGGATTTAGAAATATGGAATAAAGTTTAACGAGGGTTTTTGTGTATATAACTTATTTTACTTTTATTTGAAAATAAATAAAAAAGAATATTTAATGATTTCAGTATTCTATTATTCAGGAGCTCATATATTGATAAAGGTGAGTGGCGACTGTGGTTGTCTATTGGTGTCAAGTGCCTCGCATTAAATATTAATATTTAAGTGCTTTTGTTTGGCATTTCAGTTTCATAAAGTGTAAAGTTTCATCAGTTTAAATTACAAAAAAAAATGATATACAAATAGACACACAAATGATTTTAATGTTGTTTATAAATTAAATTAAGCTGTATCAATAAATAAATTGTGAACATATTAAATCAAAACAAGTACATTAAGGTACACACATTGAGCAAATATTAAATTTCTACTAACAACTCAAAGATTTATAATAAACAATTATATATATAAATATTAACGATGCGATAGGGAATATTCATATCAAGTGCACAGTACTTTTTCCGTTTGTAAAATATATATTATATTTATTTTTCAAATCAGAACAGTTACTCTATATTTCTATTACTAATAAAATAAATATTTATTAAAACATTCCGTTATCAACGAACAATCAAATTGATAAAATGAATCAGAAATCACCTGAAATAACACTGGCACCAAACTGATGATATTGAATATATACGTGACCCCGTGTCCTTAAACCAATTATTCCTAAATTAGGCCGACATAGATTATTGTAACTCTGTACTGTGTAGTCAATTATATCGACTAACCTTAGTTATAAGATTACATTTAGACTGGACTACACATTAGGAAATATTGCTCAAAATTTAAGTAAGGGAAAGTTGATGTATCGTATTTTATCGTTGAATTTTGTTTTTCATATAGTTCGTCGTTATAAACTTTTTCAAATAATTTTATGAAATAGAAAGAAATGTATGTGCTAATTACAATGTCATTAATTCCAACTACCTCTCAGGTTCCTGACAATAGCGTGTTTCGCTAAATTGTTATATCCAATACGCCAGGAATGTCTTTATTATGAGAAAGGCAGCAATTGATTTTGCAAGTGTTGCTTGCTTTACTTACAGCTATGGCGATAAAATCCAATAATATGTATCAAGAGTACTCTGACAGAACAATGGTTCTTGTATTGGACATGACAATTTAAGTAGCTGAGGAACAAATGATTCATCTAATGTGCCGCCAAGAAAAGCATACATTGAACGCTTCAATCATACTCAATCATTTGCTTATCAAAATAAAGCGTCTTAACAGGTTTGGATATACATTTGATGCAAACAAATTAAAAGTTGATAACAAACAAATGTGATCTACTTGGAATAAGAACCAGGTATAAGAATTATATTATGTTAATTTAAATTGCATTTGATTGATTAATCTTTCTTAAAATGTTTGACTAAAACTACTTTTATTATTATATTAAAATTGTTTCTGTGAAACTGCATGATCGCTATTTTTACAAAATATCAGAAAGACATGGGATAACTGATTGTACAACATAATGTTGCAATTGGGTTTTTGTTTGTTTTCACGTCACTATATTTACAGGACCAAGCACACATGCAAATCACGTAGTTTTGAACGTTATACTAGTAGTGCTTAAACATTTGTTTAACATATTTTTTTTTCGCAAAAAAGGAAAGCAGTTTTAAACAATATAACTCACAGGCATTGTATTGTAGAATAACTGTTTACAATTGCGGTCTTATTGTTTATATTATGTTTATATTTAAAAAGTTGTTATGTTTTTGATAACTTGTAGCAAAAGAGTTCGACTTTAAAAAATGTACAGACAATACTTTACGTACACTTTTGATTGGAAATCAAAGAAAATACTGTGACGCTTCTGTTTACAAACAAACGCATATTGCAAAGTTAATGAAATTGACATTGGAATAAATATACCCATTAAGCGTTAAACATGGATATGTAAACACTTTACGACAAAATTTAAAATGATTGTTGGCGTCCGCGCCGAAGCGCGGCGCCTTTTATGTAACGAAATCAGATTTTGTGAAAGGGCGACAGCAACTTCTCGGGCCTTTTATAGTTGTTCATAATAAAAGCCGATCATTCCGATCGGTATGAGGGTGCTTGATTATTAATTAGTCGCGATATGTATAATGAATAGCGAACTAGAGAATTTCGCAATGCAAACATTTTCAAATTAGATAACCTTTTCCGTCACTAAAACGAGCTATTCGGGGTATTTTTATTTATCATTTTGTAGTACACAGTGGTAATTATAGTATGTTATTCCGAAAGCTGTAAATAGAATGATGAGTTGATGACCTAAATATTCCGAAAATCTATTTATAGAGGGATGTACTCCTGTCGGTAATTCCCGGTCTCTCCTGGTCTATTTTGACGACCGGCGAATAGTACCACACGTTTATTGTCCGGTCTCTCCCGGTTTTGGAGTAGATGTTTGATATCGTTACAGAACAGAACAAATTATTAATATTTTACAGATAAATAAGCTTTTTTTCAAAATGAATGTTTGTCACTTAGTTTGGTTACAATAATTAATAAACACTGATCAACTCTCAAATTTATTGATTATTATTATTATACATAAACATACAATTCGGAAAAAAACCAACAACACAAATCGCATGTTTTATTTTATCTATATGAGATAAAAACAATTATGTGTACAATAATTAAGAAAAAATGTACATTTTTATGGCATTAATATGATACTATCAACTTTGAAACAATTTATTTAATTTGTTATTCGTGTATAGTAAAGATGCCGAGGAATTATTCAAAGTTACAAATCAGATTTTTTGAATTATTCAATTGATTGATAATTCAAAAAATGATAAAGAAAAATACAAATGTACATGTATATGGTTTAAGAATAAACAATATTATATTTTGAAAGATTAACCATAATTTACTGACTTTTTCCCAGTTAAGTTTTGACTTATAATCGTCGGTCATTATGACAATTGAATTCTTAAAATAATAGTAAACGTAAAAACTCAGAATTAAAATAGTGCATAAAACACAAAAAAGAAAAGAAAAAAAATTTATTCATAAAATCTGTATTTTTTTATAAAAAATATATTACAATTAGTGTATAATAAACATTTATGCTCAACATGATAAACATGGTAATATAAAATGTAACTAGTGTCATAGAGTTACTAAGTGTGAACAGATACCTTAAAAGGGAGTCTTCGCTAATAGCGATAACATAATAAGGGACAATTACACAAGTGTGGTGTTGATTATGCGTTACTCATATGGATTATAAATGATTGTATACATGTATATCCGTTGCTATTAATAACCACGATCATTAAGAAATAACAAGTAATATTCTAATTTCTAGCATGCCAATCAAAGTTATAAATAATGAACAATGTCTTTCGTTCGTTCGTTCATAAGTGATATACAATTCTGGTAAAAACCAATGAACCATTGAACAGTTTATAAGAATATCTTGTCATCATATCCACTAGTTCATCTGCACCTGCTGCATTTCTTGTTTGGACGCCCTTTGATGCTTTGCATCAATGCTTTTCTTGTCTATTTCATCTATAAACGAACAGAAATGCTGTTTCTAAGGACCCAACTGTCTGATTAATTTATCATCATATGTCATTGTTCAGAAGTTCTAATATAAATATTTATATAAAGCCAGCAAATGACAAAAGTCGCTCGCTCAATAGCATAAGACAATTTTATAAGCGATTAAGTACACTGTTTACATATATAGCTGTCTGCTTTGCCTTAACAATTAGTCCGTTATTGATTAACATGGGATATTAATATTTTGCATTATTCATGATACTATTTAGTTTGATTGTAAAACAAAATTTATAAATTAAATTTATAAAAAGTAAAGGCGTATGAAATTAAATGCATACACTTTTTATGATTTTATCTTGTACATTTATTTTCATTATGCCATTGTACAGTGGTTTCAATATTAAATGAATTTATTTTATTTTTAGGATAAAATGATTATATCTATATATCAGAAATAAAAAAAAATATTCTTAGCTTTTCTATAAATCATAGATTATTCTTTATTGATTTCTGTTCCCAAATCAAGTAAGGAAAGATCGAAGAAAGTGAACATATATCTGAATTGTGTCCGTTTCAAGGTGTCAATTGGCTTGGACTTGACGCTGCTTGTAAAGCAATTGTTAGCTTTGAAGCTTAGCAATAACGTGCCAATGTTTTAAGAATAAATTCAGGAACAAAATTGTGAAGGTGAACTTTAACATCATTCATGTTGTTTCTACAAATTCATTTAGTTAAAACAAGTTAAAAGGTTATTTGTTGCTCTGCGAAACGGATACGGTTGACAGTTTAACAGATCACTTCAAATATTAAGTTGCCGCTATCACAAAATAGTTATTTATAGACATTAATTGAACATATACTATAATTGATTAGGAACGTTACTAATAAGTTTTCTTTTCGAAAGCCAATATAATGTTTATTATGTTTACACTGTGTTATTTTATTGATTTTAATAGGACTTTTTTCTGAAATATTTATGAAAATAGTTTCATATTTTCAATAGAGTTTGCCATATTTGATTCTAAACGTCTTTGAGAAACATTTGTTTTAAAAGCAGTCCACTAGAATATTCGCCCTGTATTCTTCGTTGATTTTAATACTGGCTGATAAATTGTTTTGTAAAATACAGCCAGTCTCATTATTGTCAGAAGCGCTTAAATAATCCTAAAGCAAGCTTTTTGCAGATCAGGGAAATCAAATACATTTGTATAATACGCGGTCTTGATTTTAGCGTGAGGCACGCAATCAACTGTAAGAGTTTATTGATGAAACGTTATGCTTAATTAGTATCTTTATTTTGATTGTTTCAAATCTTTTATCAGTTTATAAGCCTAAGATATGTCTTAAAATGTCTTAACAACGTCTGATATCATAATAGTATCTTTTGGATATTATAGTAATAAATATCGGTTGTTTTTTCCAGGATGGCGGCAATGTGATGTGAGGTTGGGAATTTACACGAAATGTTGGCGGCCTAAACACGTCGGAAACTTTTCTTCCTTACGCGATGTGATATATTGTGAAACAAAAATGCATTAGATAAAAATAAAACATCTTGAGCATATCAAGCACGGATTTAGCAACACTTTATTTCAAACAGGATATGAAGCTGTTACTTTTTTGTCGTTCCTTACTTATCAAGAATTGACACTGGGACTTTACGCATAATAATGATTGAATGCATTGAATTGATTTATAATGTTTACCAAGACTGTAAACAAATTGTATAAGAAGTTAAACTCTACATTTTCCGACACCTTACATGGCATAACTCAACAACACGCCGCAGCTACTGTTGATGTGACCAATCAAACACCGAGATTCTCGCTTGACAACAGGCGCACAAGCACCTTTACAACGCAGAGTGGATTTGATCCCTATCTTTTACATCCTACATCCTTAACTACATCACGAAATATAACACACTCCACAATGACTCGCAACATTGTTTCAGCCTTCACGGTAAACGGTGGCGAAGCCTTTGACAAACCCCATCACACAACAATGGTCGCAGTTTTACTCGGAATTTTTACAATTATAAGCATTACCATGGCGGTGTCTGTTTTAGTGTTCTGTAGGAAAAAGAATTCGGTATTTATGTTACAGAAATGTGACCAGGATTCCGATATAGATTTAGAAATGAATGATATGAATACTGAAGTTGAAACATCTGATTCGGAATATGAATTCATTGAATCAACATCTCCACAACATGCAACTAGGAGATCACAAACATGTCCAAATCTATCAACATACAATGCCGATAAAGAGGGTAGCTGTCAACCAAAGAATTCAGAGAAATACAATAGGTGTTCTTTGAATAAAAGTAGAAATCAATTGAAAGGTTCACCAACATTAACTCCACTGCTGATTTCATCAAGTGCTCATAATGACAAAACTGAAAGTCAACTTTCGCAAAGTTTCTCATCAAAGTGTACAAATAATAAAGGTGCTGCTACATTAAAAATATCAGGGGCTATGTGCAACAGAAATAGAAAAGACAAGTACGAACGAAGTAGTAGTAAAGATATCAAAGACGAGAGTGAAAGAGACACGTTTCTAATCAGGGATGGTTCTAACAAGCCAAAGAAGTTAAAAATGAAGAAACATTCCACCATAAGACAACAAAATTCCAAAAGAAATAAAATCTTAGAACATAAAACACTTGACATAAATGAAACAAATTCTGATTACAATTCTAAAAGAACAATTAGGGATCAACCATTTTGTGAACGTAGAAAAGAAGTTAGTAACAATGAATGCTATCAGTTGAATACAAGCATTTTAAAAATGGAATCTGTTGAAGATGATGATATAGTGTATGTTTCTGATGGAGAGGTTCATCTTCTAGACAATTTAAATGGTAAACTGGAAATTTTATGAATGAACGCATAAAATCTTATCCGTCACTAACTTAAATGGAATTACATCTTTTTGACTTTATTCACTTTTCTATTTTTAAGTTATCAGTTATTTAAAAACAATTTGTTACGCAATATAATTTCAAATATAACAAAAAACAACAACATTATATTTAGGATACACAAAATAGAGAAGATCGCAGAGTCATTAAACTTAATTTGGTTTCAAAATATTTCATAAAACAATATTTAATAAATGACAACCTTTTTTCTTTAAAAAAAAATATAGCAAAATTTGCAACATGAATGAGCGCCTTAGGTTTCGAAATACTTCACAGAAAAATATATTAATGGCCACCTTTTTTTAGTCCCCGACCGGTTTAACCGGAGGGGACTTTAGGTTTACCCTCCGTCCGTCTGTCCGTCTGTCTGTCTGTCTGTCCGTCTGTCTGTCTGTCTGTCTGTCTGTCTGTCTGTCAGTCCGTCAGTCCGTCCGTCCACAAAACTGGATCCCGCGATAACGCAAAAAGTACTGAAAATATTTTTATGAAACTTGATATATGGATAGATGGCAGTATGGAGATTATGTACGTCTTTTTCTTTTCTTCCTATGTTGAAAATTCTGGTTGCTATGGCAACAAATAGTCTGAAAATATGGCAAATTTAACACATAAACTGGATCCAGTGATAACTCAAAAAGTACTGAAAATATTTTTATGAAACATAAAATATGGGTAGATGGCAGTCTGCAGATTATGCACATCTTTTTCTTTTCTTCCTATGTTGAAAATTCTGGTTGCTATGGCAACAAATAGCCTGGATTTCAAGATTTCTGATTTAATTTTTTCAGCTTTTTCACTATAAGTTCTTTATTTCTTAAGGTGTTTACTTCAAACTTTAAATATAAGTTTCTGGTCATCAACCACATCATATGTGACAAGGTTTATAACTCTAGCACAAAAATTATCAGTATTACCTCCCTTGAACTTAGAATTTTTATGGACAAAAATGTAGTCTTTTTTAAATAACTTCTTTATTTCCTAATGAATCTACTTCAAACTTCATATATATCTTTCTTATTATCACTCAACATTTTTGAGAAGGTTAAATACTCTAGCAAGACTATTTCCAGAATTATGTCCCCCTTGAACTTAGATTTTTTTCGAGAAATTGGTATTTTTTACTCCAACTTCTTCATTCCTTATAAGATTTACTTTAAAATCCCACATCGTAATAATATGACAAGGTTGTATAAACATAATTGCCTTACTAGGCAGGGAAACTTAACACATTACTGTGAAATAGACAAACTTAGAACTCAAAAGATTTAAGTTCATTCATGTCATTCATTCACTGGTAAAATTGAAATCAGAATGTTGCTGGGGTTCTAACCGGTAGGGGACTTATGGATTGCTTGCAATACTATGATAATTGCTTGTTTAAATTTGTAACATGAATGAGCGCCTAAAACACACAAAAAGATACTGTTGCAACTTTGTTTGAATAAGATTTCTGATTGACACACGTGTAACACGTTTTTGACTGGATTTTCTTTTCTTATTATCAAACAAGTATTACACTGTGTGGCAATTTTCTTTCCAGTAGAATATATTCTCATCCGTATTTGCTTGGAAATTTCTTTTTTTATTTATCAAATTAATCATTGGACTTCTCTTTGAGTTTTACTATTACAAATAAAATAATGTGATTAAACAACATTATGTTATTTATCTGTAAATGTACGATACCAGAGATCAAAGTATATAGATTAAATAATGTTCAGTAGATTTTGTTATCAATTTAAACGTTCGCCATTATTCAATATGTTTTATATTTCGAGAAAATCTCACTTGTATAATCAATTTAACTATAATTTCTCTCGGATACAAAACAAATTACAAGAAACACATAATTTTTAATTTCAATTTCAATTATAACTCGAGCAATATTCGATGCAATGAATCAATGCATGTATAAAATATAAGAGTTAAGTTATAGATACCGAGTCTTGCTATATTTAAATGTTATTGATCACATAAATGCCGATTTAATAAGGTGTACCATTAAACCATAGACTTGTAAAGTCGTTAAAACAAAAATTCAGACACTAAAATGTATACGCCTTTTCTGCCCACTGTGCAGAAATCTTTCTTTGTTTTCCTTTTCATTACTGATGTTTTTTCTGTAGCTTCTTTCCCCAAAAAAGTTAGAACGACATTTTGCCTTTGTTGATCCTTGCTCTCATGTTTCATTTTGTTAGCATAAAGTGCAATGAACATGTTCATCATAATAAAACTGTCTTTGCAATAGATATACAGATGTGTAGGCGTATTATTATATGGTTAAAACTGACAGCAAAATATAATATTTCTTGGGTTTCCCAAAACAAACAAATGATTAAATTCAACATTATTGTGTCTGATAAATATGAAACAATTCGAATACAATTGTTATTTTATATAAAACGAGAAAAAAGTGAACAAAATGAACAGGAAATAAATAATATGTTGCCACGGTAACATCTTCATATTAAGCGTATCAACTTATGTTCTACAACAGAGGGTTTTCTAGAGTAAATATAGTATCTTAGAATAGATGTGTAAAAGACAACTAAGACAATTTGCAATTAGTAATTATTTCGTTGTTTTAGATTTTGTTTGGTTTTGAGTTATATTCACACTAGACATTTTGTGATTTATTTCTAAAACAGTGAAATGTTCGATAACATTCTACAACGGTGTTCACATATTTTACGTTTTACTTAACTGTAATTGTGAAAAGAATGAAGATATTCTATACAAGTAATTGCGTTTAATTGCTGAAATAACTCAATTCCTGCCATGCCAATTGAATTATGTAAATGCCTTAGAAATAAAACAGATGAAAAGTCCTGAGAACACGATTACCTACTTTTAACATAGAGATCTGCATTAGTCGATATTTTTCGAACACTGGAATTGAGCCTGTTTTTAATCCAACTAACAGTGGTCCAGAATAATTATTCTAATTGTGAAAAATCACCAAATTTTGAAAAAGCTGTGCACCGCTATAAACTCAAATTGTGCTGAGCAAATAACAAAAATACGGTTTCAGTGTATTTCTAATTATATTTTTAAATCGTTTGTATATCTTTCTGTTTTAAGTGCCCCATCTGATCTGTGTAGGAAATAAAATTTATGTGATTCTAGGCTTTTGAACCTCAGTGGAGTTCCTTGAAGGCAGTAACACGATTAACGAAGATATATATTAAGCGGACAAATCATTGTAATTGGCTAGTTATTGTTTTAAATGAAGCATTTATGTTAGAGTTAAGTGATACCTTTTGATGGATTAAATAATGTTTACTATTTCCAAAACAATATTTTCATTTCATTCGTTGAACACTTGTCTCAGGACTATATTCTTCACTAGGATTAAGGTCGAACTAAACAGTGATCCTGTCTTTGGTTCTTGATAAAAAATTATATTGAACTAAATGTTTATCACCAACCCAGAGTTCTTCATTTAATTCATACGAGAATAACTGCGATAAACAGTTGTCACGACGATTCAATATTTTACACAATGATAAATATAAGTCACTTCGGGTTTCAGGTACAAATTTCATTGTATTTTGAATATCGAATACTGAAGTATTACTGTGATTTAAGTGTTTTTAACTGTTTAAAAGGTCCTTTGGTAAACAAAAAATTATTATCAAGTCTATTGTCTGTGACTGGGGTCTGTCCGCTCCGTCAACTATTACAGAGAGTATCTGTCCCCAAACAAACAGTCTTTCTCTAGTCTATCTTAACTGCCATGCTATGTAACTTCATTGTATGTATCGTTCGTGACAAGACAATAATAACTTGTTAACTGAGCTCTTAAGAATTGATTTTTTCAATGAATTGTGACCACAGGGATACAGTCAGACAAGTCAAGTTATAGACAGTATTTAGTGGTGGCTCATTTACGATGAATAATTAAAGAACTGTGCGATAGTACGATCGTAATTTCGATGTTTATTTCTTAGATACAGTAAAAAAAGGTAAAAACTAATTAGGCGATGTTACTTTGCTATTATATAAAATTTATTTGGTTTGTCTTTTTGTGATACATTTTAATATAAAAAAAAATGTTATACGGTTGTTCTGTATGCGCGCATCCAAGTATGCTAGATGACATATGTGGTATCTGATATTTTAAATATACATAACAAAAATACTTTATTCTGTAAAACTCAGGATGGAATACGTCTTGACATAGTTTGTGTGATATACACACAAGTAAGCGGTGTAGTTAAACCTGAAATGAGGATAAAATTATTTACTTGTTTCAAATGAAAAGGAAATAAAAACAATCATTCATGTACATTTAATTGAAATGAAATGGCAGATTTGAAAAATATTTCCTATGGCCTGAAATCTCTTACTTATAGAAAAGGCATTGTCAATTTAATATATAACTAAAACATTTTAAGAAAATAAAAACTACCATACATTTATATTTTTGAGCATTTATTGCTATAAATGAACATTTAGCAAAACAATATACAAGATAAACCTAAGTTACAACAAAATAATATACATATACTGTCTAATCATACAACTATAAAGTAGTTTTACATTTACATATTTTGCGACTTGAAACCTGCAGTTATAACACATTAAGATAAAATTTTAATATGATGTCTTAAGAGAAAATTGGAACTGGCATTTCATACATTACTATATAACGCCAATAAGGAAGTACAAATAAAAAATAACAAAAGAAAGAATCATGACTATTATCTTAGTTATTTCAATTTTATATAAAAAAATTATGAAATAATGAAAATCCAATAAATTGAATACAGACTTGAAATCATACACATTAAATGAATGAAAGTACAATAAATGTATGCAATTATGTTATATATTGTACGCATTATCATATATAGTATAACACAATAGTTAAGTATTGACTAAGATTTTCTGCTGATATATTTAAATATGTATGTAATAAAAACATTCACAATTAATTGTTGTAAGGAAGTTCTGTTAAATTATAACAGAATTTCAGAATATTTTGCAATTTACTCTAGCATAATTTATATTAAAAGTTAATTGTGTCTTTGAACCATTGCCCCAGGCACTTTAAAGGGATTTTACTGCTAGATATAAAAGTATTTTTATATTGTAAAAAGAAAGTTCTTTTGAGTTTGTAATGCTTGCAAACAAATGTTTGGATGATAGATTTAAAATGTGATTGTATATCCGTTAGCCTAGGTATTAATAAACTAATCCTATCCAA